GTGTATTTTTTTTATTTTTTTTTTCCCCCTTTGTGTGCTTCCCCCCCCCCCCCTTGGTATGCTTATTTTAGAGTTAATGACTAGGCAGGGTTTTTCACAAGGGCTTTTAATCAGTGTACAAAGTTTGTTATAATTAGTGGAGGGAATGTTGAATTAGCTGAGATCATAAATTGTAAAGTAGCAAAGTAGAAGAGTCATGAAGCTATAGAAACGAGCAAATTTAGAAGTATGATAGGTAGAGGAATTTGTACAAAATGCATGGAAAATTAAGTCTGAGGTATATCCACTGGTACATTTTGCAAACAATTTTTGTATCTATTTTGTTGTTTTTGTTAAAATAGCTCTGTTTTGAATTTGGTTCCATGCATTACTGATCCAAAAGAAAAGAGATCATTTCATATAAGCCAGGTAGTGCATTTCACTACCTGAATTATTTATATAGAAAATAGTTCCTAAAGGAATGTAGCTTAACTTTTGGCAGTATATCTACAATATTTCCAATTCAGAGATACATATTTAAATGTGGATTATGTTAAAAGTCAGCTCTAAGAGATCTTTGACAGTGCATCCAGATTCAAATATCATCTTTTACAAGCTGAAGTTAAATAATTCAGCCCTATACTGCACTGAGGCAAACCGTATTATTGAAGGATTATAGTTCACACACAGTGTTATTAGTAGGTAAGCCCTGGAGAGAAGATTCAGAAATATTGTGGAAAGGCTGAAATTGTATTTTGTTTGTATTTGGATGAGAGGAATAATCGCAGATTTTTTTTTTTTTCAATTATTGTATTTAGACAAGACAAAAGCAGAAACAGTGATTCATCACACAGAATGTTAAAATATTTGAATTCCAAGAAAGGAACAAAGATGATTGCGAATACAGCTTTGTTTCTCTTTACTGTGGCAAACCTTTATCAATAATTCATTCTGGTTTCTGCACAGGTGGTCGACCAGATTGACACACTGACCTCTGACCTGCAGCTGGAGGATGAGATGACAGACAGTTCCAAAACTGACACGCTGAACAGTAGCTCAAGCAGCACAACAGCATCCAGCTTGGAGAAGGTCAAGGTGCGTGCCAATGCACCGCTCATCAAGCCTCCGGCACATCCATCTGCCATCCTCACAGTACTGAGGAAGCCCAACCCACCACCACCTCCTCCACGATTGACTCCTGTAAAGTGTGAAGAACCTCACAGACTGGTTCCCTCTGCTAACCCTGTAAAGACAAATGGGACCCTGCTTCGAAATGGAGGCTTACCAGGAGGTCCAAACAAAATCCCAAATGGGGATGTGTGTTGTATACCTAATAGTAACTTGGACAAAGTCTCACTGCAGCCTCTGATCCATAGACCTGATAAAGACAGGTGTCCTCAGACAGCAACACGGGAACGGGTACGATTTAATGAGAAAGTTCAGTACCATGGCTACTGCCCTGACTGTGACGTTCGGTATAACATTAAAAACAGGGAGGTCCACTTGCACAGTGAGCCTGCCCGGGTGCCAGGAAAGCTTCCTCACCAATGTCCTCCCCTCCCACCTCCCCCACCTCCTCTTCCTCCATTTCCTCTAGAAAATGGAAGCTTGGGAATAAGTCCTAGTAATAGCTTTCCTCCTCTCCGACCTGCAACTGTGCCTCCACAAACTGCACCAAAACCCCAGAAGACGATCTTGAGGAAATCGACCACTACAACAGTGTGATGTATGCCACTTGAGAAACTGTTTTTTCCTATATATAAGCATAAACAAATAGGTTATGAGCACTTTCTAATCAAGCAATAAAAAGCCCCAATATTACACCCTGTGTGCAGCGAAGTGGCATAAAATCACATGGTAAGTACAAATAAAGTTATTTGATATCCCATATACCCACCAAAGAATTTTTGTTAAGTACTCTAGTACAGTGAACAGGCTTCAGATCATGGATTGTAAAAAGCAATTACAGCTGAACATTTCTAACTGTGGTTTCACCAATGTTCAGAGTTCATCTTGAAAATGTTGTGTGTGAGTAGCAATTAGTGTTAAAGTTCAGTATGCCTGTGCTAATAGAATAATTAGTATTATAGGACTTTGTAATAAGTGAAACTTTTGAAGTACACTTGCTAAAAATATAATGTATCATTAGGTGGAGCAAACTGCAGCTCCAGCTAAAGATTCCTGACTGAATCTTAACAAATATGTTTTTATATGCCCCAGGGATGCAGGTGGTAGCCAATTAGTCTACAGGCAAAAGGAATCAGAACTCATAGCAGTGGTGAGATCTGTTATTAGACCAACTAGATATTGCAAAAAAAGGCTTTATTTGCCAGTTTTCGGGTGCACTCACCCATCCTTAGGCATAGGAGAATGCACAAAATGAACTTGTCCTACCAGGAGATCTTACAACACCTTCAGCTTTCCTGTGAAATAGGAATATTCATTTCCATGTAGGAGAAGTGTTACAGTCTTTGCATTCTCTTATTCCTGAGGAAGGGTGTGGGCACCCAAAAGCTTGCAAATAAAGATTGTTTTTGCAAATATCTAGCTGGTCTAATAAAATATGTCACCTTTGCCATGAGTTCTGATTCCTATTTTATATGCCTGAGTGCTTGCATCAAGAGCATCATGTATGCTTTGTATATATGATGTAATCATTAAACTTTCAGAAAGCTGTATCTTAGGTATGGAAATGAAGATGTAATTGGAAGGTACGTTAGAATCACAGAATCCTAGACGATTAGTGTTGGAAGGGACCTCAGGAAGTCATCTAGTTCAACCTCCTGCTCAAAGTAGGACCATCCCCAACTAGATCATTCCAGCCAAGGCTTTGTCTATCCAGTTCTTAAAAACCTCCAAGAATGAAGATCGACAACATCTCTGGGTAGCCTTTTCCAGTGCTTTACTACCATCCTAGTCAGAGAGTTTTTTTCTAATATCTGACCTAAACTTCCCTTGCTGCAACTTGAAGATCATGTTGATATGATTACATATTTACTGACATTTTTGGCAAGAGAAGTCACTGCCCTATCAGTTGTCCTCTGCTTGCAGTGTTCTGTTTGTAAAATGGGGATAGTACTTGGTTGTTCACATGGATGAAATTCAAGTCTTTATACAGTTCTTCATGCAAATCCTCCTTTGAAGACAATGGGAAATTTGCCTAAGTCTTCGGCCATGGCTGGTTAATGCTGGTAAAGGGCTTTGAAGATGAAAAGCTCTGTGCAATTACTAAGAAATAACATGCAAAACAAGATATTTCTCTTTATCACATTTTGGTGGTGAACCCAATTAATATTCTTATGAGTTAGAAAACTCTCTATCATTTTAATTGTATTTTAGAAAGAGCATTTATTATTCATAGAAGTAGGAATGTTGGTATCTAGCACAGATACATCCCTCCAAAATTAAGTTTGAAAATTACACAAACAGCAGAATATAGGTAGATGGGTCAGAACAATGTATTTAGATTTGAACTAGAATGCAAAACAGAGTTAAGCTTTTTAGCTTTGAAAGAGTTTGGCCAGGTATTTGTGGAGTTTTATTAACCAATATGGAAATAAAATATATTCCTTTATGTTTGCACGTAGCAGGAGAAATTCAACTGAACTAAGCCTTGTAGATGCTCCACTAGGTTCACATTACTGTATCTTTGAAGAATTTACTTTGACCAAAATAACAAAACCAGCAACAAGCATAATATCCAGGAAACATAATGGCTCTTTCTGTAGCAAATTACTAAGCCCTGCTGAATTTTATACAGTGAGCAAGGTTGCATATGGTACAAATATGCCTTTGGGACTTAGAGCCTCATACTGCATCGTACTGTGTGGTATATCCAGTTATCACAATGCAAGGTAGTCATTAGCTATTGTATGCTTCCAAGTGTTTTTTGTTGTTGTTCGATCCCATCACTTGCTTTTACCAGCGGAATTATTTTGGTTGCAATAGGGATAAGGAACTGTTTTTCCTACAAAAAAATCAAAAGTACTGCAAAACCTTCCATGAAGTTCCATTTACCCTTGTGACTTTAAACACAGTCAGGATGTTAATGACATGCATATATCCACACTCAAACAATGCAACTGCATAGTTGTTCCCATTAAAAAAGGAAAGCTTTATCTTGGGCTACTGACTTCAGCATAATAAGTTACAATATATGCCTACTGCTATAATTTAACGCAATTAGAAAAAAAAAAAATTTTAAATAGCACATATTGTATAGAAGAAGTTATAGTCATATATCTTGTGTTTGTTATAATATGTCTAGTTCAGTTTTGTCTTAGCTCTCTTTTTTCTTTTCCAATTTTTTTAAGCTTCTGATTCCTTTCACTGTGCTCACTGTGTTAACATATAACCCAGGGTGACTAGATGTTACAGCTCTCCCTTTGTGATCTAATTTCACAGAGGATATGAGTTTTCTTTCTCAACAGCTTCAGCAACTTGGTTCTCACGTTGCAGCTGCAGAATCTTAGCTCAAGTGGTAGCACCTCCTGCTTTTAGTTCTGGAAGTCCCTTGCTTAATCTTTAGTATGATGGCAGAATTCCAATTGTATGACCTACCTCTTGGATGTAGTATTGTAGCTACTGATTTTTATAACTCAACCTGTCTGTTATGAGTTCTACGTAGAGGGAGACTGGTCATATGCACCAACCTGTTTGTTATATACCTTTCTCTAAGTTTAATTTTTAGTACACCTTAGCTCCGGTTCTTAAATTTCTGTTTGAAATACTGTACGTTTTTTTTTTCTCTTCTTGTATTCTTTCATCTCTTTTGGTCTTTAAAGATATTTGTCTTTCCCTGTGAAGCCTTTTTAGATAACATTTATCTGCATTCTAGTATAGACCCAACCATGATGCTATCTCTCAGTACTGGTACCTTAATCCTGCTTTGTCTGTTCCTTATCTCTTTCCTTATCTGCTCCCTGGAAGCTACAGCTTCTGCTCTACTAAACTGGCTTCCAACAGCCTCCGCTCCTATATCCCTTCAGAATAGTTCTTTTAAGCAGGCGTATGATAAAAAAATTATCTAACTCTCTAAACCAGCTCCCTTATGTGAAGAGGTGGGCACCCTTTAGTTTTCCCTCCTAACCATGTAGAATGAAATAAGAGTTTTACTAGTGACTTCAGTGGAGCCATAATATTGCCTTCCATAACTCATTTTTTTTTCTCTAGGGGGTATAAATCAATTGGAATCCAAAGTAAATAAATTTTAACTTTTCAGAAGATCCTATCAGATGATTAACTTTCCTACAGAACAGGCACCAATTTATTAGCAATTGATTTTGTCCAAGAGAACTCAGGTCTGGAACAGCATCGTAAACAAAAATTAATTTCTATTATTACCTATTTAAAAAGATAAATACAATAAATATACATGGTAGTGTAAGACAATACAGTTTTGTGGTTTGTACATTGTTTTCCAAACATGACTAGAGGCCTTGTTACACCTTGCACTGTGAGCCGCACAAATGTTGATTAGTGTTGGTGCTAGCTCGAGTTTGGAGCAGTCACATTTCAGACCAGCAGGAGTCCGGAGGACTCAAAGGTAAGAATCTCCTCCCTCGCATTCTAGGCTTCTCCCATGCTCTCTGTCCCCCAGGACTCTTCATGTTCTCCCCGTGCCCCACCGCCCCTCCACTTACTTGTGGCTGCCTGTGCTGTTTGTCCCAGGTGAGCAGGCAGGGAAGGGTTAACCTGCCTGCCCAGCTCCTGCTGTTTCTCTGGGCTGAGCCTGGGACAGAGGATGCAGGCAGCCAGAAGTATGCAGAAGTGTGGGGGAGGGACATGGAGGAAGCAGTGAGCAGGGATGTGGGGTGCTGGGGAGGGAGGGGAGCAGTGGGCCTCATCTGATCCAGCAGGGGAGGATGGAGTTGGGAAGTTTACACTAAGGTGTATCCCACAATGGTTACACCTTAGCGTAACATGAGCTGGGTAACATGGATCCTGCTCTAGAGTGGCATAACTTTGAAGGTGTTAATAATGTGTGGACAGTTCAAGTGTTACAAGCTCCAGGGGGTACCCAAAATTACTGTGTATCAAGGGCTTCAGAGGTCATCTGAAGCATGTTAAGTTTAATTTAGCTATAGTATTTACTGTCAATCACAAGAAAAAATAGGCTCAACAGGCAAATTTTCCTATTGCATTATTCAAAGTTGTTAAAATGTAAGAGCTAGTTATCAGTTCTGGCACACACCTTTTTCTCTGGAAAATCTTAATTATATTTATCTTTCATCTTGCCAACTGGAGGACTTTTCAGGTTACAGTTTTAAAATGTGTATCCTAAATGATTCTTATCTTGATTTCAGTGTCAATAATCTTAGATGTTACTGCAGCTAGGTTTTTAATATTTACATGTGGGCCAATGTTTAGTTTCTGCCCAGATGTGGTTACCAGTACAAGGTGAAGCAGCTAAGTAGAGATTTAGGATTGTGTTCTTTACTTACTATATGTACCTAAACCTAGTTCTTCTCCCAAGAATAGTCTCAGATACTAGGTATACAGGTTTTCTTTCCCTGGGTTCTGTTCCAGGACACTACAGGAACTGGTGGATGCCCTCAGATCATCTAAGTAATCCTATTACCATCAACAGAAGGTCTGATCTGGGTGGAATTATGCATCTTGCTAAAGTACTTTATCTTCATTCCTCAATTTCTGCAAACACAATTCGTGGTCTCTCTTTTTTTTTTTATTATAGCTTTTACAGCAGCGCAGCATTGTTCTGATATTAGCTGAGACTTCTCAGTACCATGATAATATAAATAACAAATTGATCCCTTTTCCTTCTCCTCTTTCTTCCTCTGCCCCCACCCTCTCAAAAAACAAACCAATCCAGTTTTAAAGCCAGGAGGGATAATCAC